GCTTGGCACCGCAAGCGTGGTCCCACGCAGAGGGCCACACGAGCTCTGAAGAGAGTCACTCCGATGTGGAGAATCAATTCTTGGGGCTGTCGAACGTGACCCCCATTTTTCAGAAATAAATGACTGCGAGGGTTTGGGGTGAGGCCCGAAGCTACGAGTATCGCCGTATCGCCGTGATCGATGACTGTTATGCCTCCGCCAAGCCAAGTTTCACACTGTGGATCAGTCCACATCGCCCGCACAATGACCGAGTTGCCTGAGTTTTAAAGGTGGCCAACGGCAGTGGCGCTGCCAGCCCGAGATTGCACTTCCAGTTCATGCAAGCTGTAGTGCAGACAGCAGATGTGTTCGATGTCGGGTGAGGAGGCTTTGGGGCCTTTAAACACCTCCTCACAGTAGCACCTGTTTGCTCATGTCGGCTCGGCGACTCGCTTGAAAGGGGCATTTCAGATCGAAGGCTTCGGAGAGACGTGGTCAGAAGATATCATGCATTCCAGGAGCGGTTTGATCGCGAGGGCTAGGAAACCAACGCGTGATGCTCCGCATCGGCTGTGAATCTCCTAGCTTGGCCACCGCATGTATGCTAGTAGTATGCTAGCTAGCAAGTTTAGCAAAGCAAGTGTTGTAGCCGCGAGCAAGCGGGCCACAGTGGGCCGGTGCAAGACGGGCCCCATGAAGCGAGCTGCTTGGCTGCTGCGATCCCCTGCACGGTTTCGACTCTTTGTGCTGCATGCTGCTTTTGCTCTGCTTTTGTCCCTTCCGGCCAGGGCTTTCCTCTCTGGAGGGCGTGCTGTCGGGAGCCTCAGAAGACCACATGCTGCGGCCTGACCCCAACACCTGCTCAAGCTGGGGAAGGCTGAGTTCACGCGATCCTATCCCTCTAAAGCTAGGAGCAGCTCGTGGAGTTCCACGGCCGCGATGGAGAGCGTGAGCTGCTCACTGCAATTACCTCAGTGCAACACCCGCCCAGTCGACAGGCGAGTTCATCTTTGAAGCACTCACGCAGGTGACATCCGATCGACCAGAGCGGCTCTGCCTGCGAGCCTTCGAGCAGCCTCCGTTCTACGTAGGGGCCCGAAAATGATGTTGCAATCGAGAGCCTTGGCTCAGCTTCATCGCTTCATTCCAGGCCTGGCCAGTGATGCAGGCCTATCCTCGAGGGCGCCCCTTTTGGATTTCGATTCAGGTGCGAGGCTTTCATTTTCTATCGTATGGCTCCTCAGCGTTCCAGCCCCGCCGGAGTTTGTGGTGGGTGATCAACATCAGGACCTCGAAGCACTATGCAACATCTATGAACGCCCTGGTCATGTCCGCCGTTTCCATCTTGTCTTGCGAGATGCTGCAATCCTTGCAGGTGTACCTGGGGATACAGCTGAAGGTGATCGAGGAATCAAGCGGGTCTGGAAATCAGTTATTCAGTTGGCTCTTCCCGGTCCGGTGCTCATCCAGTAGTTTGTGAAGTCTTGCTCTGTGCTGTGGCTCTCCAAGGGACAGCCATCGAGACTTCAGCTCGACGTGCCTTAGTGATGGGCAAGAAATCGAGTCTCTATGTTCACCGAGCATTCTTCCAATTCTTCTAGGTGCAGACGCAGTCTCCCGGACTCCTCTGTCGCATTGTTGGACCTTGGCGTCTTGGCTGCAAGGAGAGAGACGGCACTGTAGAAGGCTGCGAGCGCCGACTCCAGGATTGGGCGATTGCTGCCGGGGGTTTGCAAGGACTCCAAGCGACGCTCGAGCCTCGAGCGGTGCCAATGTCTCCGAGCCTGCTTGCAGGATTGCAGCTCCAGGTGTCCAGCGAGACTGCATCGTCGGGCCAGGTCCTTGATGCCTACCGGCAGCGCCAGACACATCTCGAATGCAAGCTCCTTCTCTGACCGAGGGTGAACAGTTGGCGGTCTTCTTGCCTCCAACGGGTGGCTGTGTTTACATTCGCAAGGCTTGCTGCGCTGCGGGACATTGGGCATGATGTTGAATGATCATGCCTGTTGTTCTTGCTTCTGTTGCTTTTCACTAATCTCATGAAATCCGATATCTAATAACAATGGGATTCCTGGAAAGTATGAAAATCGGCCAAGAGTCGGCTTAAAATCAAACTAAATTGAACAAAAGCTCGCTTCAGCAAAAACAAAATCGCTCAGATTCATTGATCGCAGCCGAAAATCGAAGCAACATCGTGTCGATGTTTTGCCCACATCCGAAAAGCAAAACAAACTCGCTCCGATTTCTGGTTCACATCCGATTAGGATTAGATTTCGCTTAATAACACAACATCTCCAGAAAGACAAAATCGAAAACACAAAAACCTATAGACGTGTGATTTATGATAAAAATCGGACGAAAAAATCGATTTTGCAGCGGCGCTTGGCAAATGGACATCAAGAATCGAATCGATTTTGGGGCGGCGCTTGGAAATCAACAAAAAATCTAATCGATTTTGGGGTGGCACTTGGAAATAAAAAAACAAGCAGAAAAACACACAGAATCGATTTTGGAGCGACACTTTGCAAGCGAAAAATATCGAATCGATTTTTTGGGCGGCACGTGGATCTCAGAAAACTAAATAAATCGAAACGATTTTGTTTTGATTTTCGGATGTGAGCAAGAAATTGAAAGGCATTTTTGCCGATTTTGGAGCATTTTTGGTTTCGAGTTCATTTTGCTTTTAAGCCGATCTTTGGCAGATTTTTCAAACTTTCCATGAATCCCATGGTTATTAAGCTTTCGCATGTCATAACTCTAGTCTCTCCCTGATGTGCCTAATCATGTGCCCGTGTGGTAATCGTAAAATAGCCGAGCTGCACTCCTAGCAGGTGCCAGCAGACGTGGAGCGAGTTCGCGTTGCATGGCACTGGCATCTTTGCTTGCGCAATTCCGATAGATTCGGAATGTTGTGGGGGGGTTTGGCCATGGGACAGAGCTTGCCCTCGCTTGCATCGCTTGCGAGGCATTTGGACTTGTCGGTCTTCGTTTTCCTCATGGCCGGCCTCACCCTTGCACCGCGCTCAGGGGCTGAGATTGGCTTGGAGGAAGGGGATGTGGCTCCTTTTAGGTGTTGGCGTGGAGACCATTGTCTGAGAGTTCTGTTTTCCATGCCGGACTGGGAGGACAAACGAAGAGCCAGGGCAACCAGGGAGTTGGGGAATTGGACACAAACAGGTTGCCCTCTGCAGGACTTGGATCTTTGGTGTTGATTGGCACCATGGAGCTCGCCTTAGCGTCACAGTCCAACGGTAAGGCAACAAGTCTGGTACATCAACCTTTGATGGCACATGAAGCCGTGCAAGGTGTCCTTCTGGATTGTCAAAAGTGCGCGTGGCACTCTTCACGGAACGATACCTTTCGGCCGCTGGGCTTGAGCCCCGGCATCTGTCCTGAAGCATACTCGCAGCACTCGCAGTGGCACCAGACTTGGTTCACAAGTCACAAGCGGCTGCATTAGCAGCGCACACAGCAAAGGAATGGGATGTGCCTGGTCAGTTTACGCAACATGAGCAGTGTTTCGCTTTGGCCTCCGAGTTGACGACCCTAGCTGCTGCCGTGTTTGCTTTCATTCCGGCCGCCCGAAACGTCGGACCCACGGATCTTTCCCTCTTTGGAAGTTTGCTCTCATTGGCAGTGTCTGTTCTTAGCTACAGCAGGTAATCCTTGCATGGGCGTGGCGATGGCTCCCTGCCCAGTCCTCAATTCCGGGTTTCTGTGTCGTCTCGATTGAAAGATCGTCTAGCAAAGTTGAGTGCTTGTGCTTGTAGGGGTTTGCATGTTGCCTTGGACCCGAGGCCCCCGACTGGCACACGTGGCTCAGCTTGTGCCTGAAACGCCTGAGAGTTTGAAAGCGGCTTTGGGCCAAATCGGCGCAGCCGAGGCATGCGAGATCCCTTCTTTGAGCTGCCGGTCGGCTGCAGCCCGAGCAGCCGGAGATCCCCGGTTTGTCCTTGCGAGCAGAAGAAGCCTGAGGTTGCCTCGTGTTCGGCGTGGTGATCTTGATCTGCTTGGTCTTGGTTCACCTAGGCTCCTGGGCTCGTGGCATGCTCGGAGTCTTGGGAATGAGGGGCCCCCCCTGCTCTGCCACCCGTGTCCTTGTCAGACTCTGAGAGGCAAGATTCCATGTCGTTCTCCCCAGCAATCCCGTACTATGCTAATGTACATTTTGGTATTTGGACCCTAAACTCATCTGAACTCCTAAACCCTAAACCCCAAATGAAGATTCTCCTTTTGGCAAAGCCTCGACGGCCTTGCAGGTGCCGGCCTGGCGATTCGATACTTTGCATCGGCGCCGGAGCCACAAGGCCCCTTTTTTGCCATTCCCCCGAAAGGCCCCGGAGGAACGCGGCTGATACCGACCTGCTTTCAAACTCAGCCGTAGGTTTGCAGATCTCTTCTCCATTTGTTTCATTGCGGGTGTCCAGAGGGCCGTCTGTGCGGATCTGCCCGCGTTTCTTCGAGGTGAGGTGGAGTTTCTTATCGGCAGCGATGGCCGCAGAGTCGACCTCTTGCCCCCAGTTCCAGTTGCGCAGAGGACCGCGGATCGCTCGGGAAGCGCTTTGGAGATGGATCTGTCTGTTCTGGGTAGCTCGCTTCGTGGGCTTGAGAGGATTCTCGGCTGGACGATCTGGCTCTCTGGGCTCGGACTTCTGCTTTCCGGCTTTGAGCTGAGCTCCACGTCTGCCTGGGGATCCGCCCAGGTCGTTTTGCACTTGCAGCTGCGACAGCCGAGGCACTCATTCCGATATCTGCTCAGCCATGCTCGTCGTGGCAGTGCTGTTGAAGGAGCTTTTCCCCTGCATTGCGAAGTTCACTTAGCTGCCGTCGGAGCTGGCTCTGGACGGTGAGAGGATCATGTGATACACCTCGTGTGCCTGGTGAAGATGTGGAGAGAAGCTGCCCGAAGCTCAAGTGGAAGACCGCCCACCATCTCAGAATCCTGAGCTCGCATCTGCCAGGAAGTTCAGCCAAAGGACTTGCATGACCTCATGCCAGCCAGTCAGATGCACGCAGAGGCGGTCGATTTGGGCGAATTGGCATGGCTGGCTGATGTACCCCCCCGGTTTTCCCGCTGGTCTGTCCGTGGAGGCAAGCGCCGCCACCGCACAGGCGCTGGCGCAGCTGCAGAACTATCTCAAGGCAATGTCTGCACACGTCGGACGACGTCAACGACATACTAGTAGTGCTTGAGCAGGTCATTGCAGAGTCTATTGCTAGACATAGCGAATAGAAGAAAAAGCAGAAAGAGTCGGCTGCTGATGCCTACGCGGAGCGGAGAGCAAGCCGAGGAGCACCCGACTGTCGTGCGGAAAGTCCGGGAGGACCTATTCCGTGTGGTTCCCACCCCATCGCAGCCGAGAAGTGATTGCTCATTTTGGCGTTCGAGGGTGGGTCTCGATCAGCCTTGTGTTGCGTGTGTCGTTTAGTTTTTTCATGTTCGACAGTCTGCATGTGCGACTGGACCTGAGCCTCTGGCCTGAGTGACTGCACAGGGCGAGCAAGGTTCCAAATTGAATAAGCATAAAGTCAAGCGAAGCAGCGTTCGCATGCCGGGACCCCTACTGATGCAATGCACTCCAGAGTCCGTTGGATGGTTGACGATGGTTGACGGATAATGCTACAGACATACTCCCGATGCAGAATTGTGAAGCTGGGGTGGACTTTGGAGCATGATGGCGGCGGCGTTGGTTTCAATCTGTTGGTTTCTGCAGTTTTGCCGACAACTTTGTCGGTTGATGGCTCCCTGCAACTTTCGGCTGACTCGTGCAAGCTTCCCGGCGCTCTTCACATCATCTGATATCATTTGCGGTCCGGACAACTTCCGATATTGACAGTGAAACAGGGATGAATTAACACGACACGATTTTGGGTAGGGTCTCCTTAGAATCCCTGGGTTGTGATTCGAGCGCTGCCGATGCCATGCGGGTTACAGCAAGTGACGGCATTGGCTCTGGAAGGACACGGAGTTGACACTCCGGCGCTTCTCCGTGGACGGGAGTCTTCCGCGACAACCTGAGGTCCCTGCCCGGGCCTTGTTGTGCAGGAGAGACTACAGATTCTTGCCCGAGCTTCTTTCCTTCGGAAAAGTGCATCAGCGGCGTAGCAGCGAGTTTGGGATTCGAACTGGTAACCTTGTTGCACTGTGGGACTTTAGCGGCGACTGCAAGATGCAGATAAGATTTTGTCAGGTCGCTGCGACATCTCGGTCGTCGTGTTGCTTGCAGTGAGCATCAGTGAGCCGTAGATGCATTGCAGATCACTGATCAAATTAAATTGGACAGTCTGTTCCAATTTTGGGTTTGCCCAAGCGGTACGTCTGCCAGCCACTGGTCTGCCAACCGATGTGCAGTGAGCGACTGGCTTGGTGCCTTCTTGGGAGCAATAGTGCTTCTCTTGCCTTGTGTAAAGAAGCATTCCGGCCTACAACCGTCTCACGAAAGCGGGTAGCGATCGCTCAAAAAAGCGGAATAACGAATACAATGTCATTATGAACTTCTTTCCTTTATAATTCGAATTATTAATCATCATAATTCTTCGCTATCAAGAGACTGCTGTCCCATGAAGCCAATTGCACTTTGGGTTTAGTTCAGGGTTTTGGCTTTAGAGGTGGAAGGAGAAGAGATATACATTGGAAAAGATGGGCGAAACAAGATTATATCGGAAAGAGAAATATGTGCAAATTGAGATTTGAAACACAAGAAATCTTGAAGATAGATGCGAATAGAGAAATGATATAGATTCTTTCTTTTTTTTATTGCCGAATGAAATTAAAAAAATGAATGATTATGAATTGAAACTTAGGGGAAGAAATAGATTTATTTATTATATTTCGACGAAGATATTTATTAGATATAACTTTGGATTGTCGCTTTATAGAAAAATTAAATCTAGACGAATAAAATTTGAAATATTTAAATAAAACTTTAAATTATTATTAAACTATTATTAGTCTTAAGATATTAAATATTTTAGCTTAAATTTTTTATTTAATAAATTTTATAGCTTTTGAATTGGAAAGTTTAAGGTCTGGAATTTTTATTCTAAAATTTTACAACGGCAAATTCTGAATTTTATAAATTTTAACTGTAAAATCTAAAACTACTAGATAAATTTAAATTCATTTATTTTAAATCTTGAAAATAAATTCTGGATTTCTTGAAAAGCAAATATTTAAGGGATCTCTGGATATTTAGATGCTGTAGTTTGTATAGGATTCGCTTAGAGGCTTTCTAAAGATTTTCTTGACGGGATTCCAAATGGATTAAGACCGATCGGCAATTCATTCCCCCTCGTCCAAAATGAGATTATTGGCAGGGTCCTCGCCCCAAATGAGATTATTGGTAGGATCTCGGCTAAGAGACATCTCGGGGGTATTATCTGAAGAATTTAATCTGATATGTGGAGGACAGACGCTTGAGATACGGCAGAGTACATATCTGAAGGGTCAAATGATCGAATGTGTGCCGCGCGGGATCAGATTTTCAAGCGAGTTGAATTTTAGAGTTTTGGATGATTTGGGGTCAAGAATATCTGGATTCTGGATTTGAGGCGGAATTTGAAATTTCTGGGTTTTTGAGATTCAGATTTTAGGCTTTTGATTCTTATTTTAATATTTTGGAATCTATGATTTCTGGATTCAAGATTTCTAGGTAAGGGATTCTAGATTTAGGGATTTTGAGAAAAAGATTTTTTGAGGATAAAAAGTGTTCTAGATTTTTTTTGGAAAAAAAAATAGAATCCTAAACCCCTAAACCCTAAAGCCTAAACCCTGTTCTCACAAAATAGTTTTCTAAAAAAAAATTAGAACAACTTTTCCTTGATTTTTAGATATTTATGATTATGTAAAATCTAGAGATATTTTATCTCGTATCTTCCCTATATCGGATTTATCCCGGTTACTCGGAGACTGATAGTCAATATTATCGATTGAACTTTTTGAATAGCTCAATAGCAAGTGCAATACGTTCCCTGAAGTAGAGTATCGAGAGATAATTTCCAGAGAAGATCTTTCTATATCTTTTTATAACAATCTCAAATAGAGATCCACGAATTTTTAGATTTGAGCGCTTTAAGAAAATAGATTTCGAAATAGGGTTTAGCCCAGATACCTATCTTCTTTTAGAGGTCTCGAGAATCGCTAGTCCAGATTCTCGAGATAAATTCTGAATAATTGTTCTCGAAATAATCTTTCCCTCAATTGACGGGATAGGATATGTGGGGAATATGCTGCGAATTTGCGGAATAATGCGGATATATATATATTATGGAAATATTATGAGATAGCAGAAGAAGATCGGAAAGTCGTAAAATAATAGATAAAGAGAGATCGAAATAAATCTCATCGGAATTGGAGATAAAAATGAGATCGGTTCTTCTGAAAAATATTTTTTCAATATATGCTATATAATATCATGCATTACAATTCTAAGAATATATTATTATTTTTTATATTTCATTATTTTTCATATATATTTATTCTAGATTGAAAATTAAGAATTAAATAGAGATATTATGAAAAATTTTAGAAAATAGTTATTGAATATTATTAATATTTATTAATATATACAAAGAGGCAAAGATAAGAAAATTAGATCTATATTATGAATTTCTTTTTTCTCTTATTCTTTCTTCCTTTATATCTGTATCTTCATTATATTTTGTACTAATTTTTTTTAGATCAAGATTTTAAGTGATGAATATAATAGAAAAATATTCTATTCTATTCTTTGTATATATATATATATTTGATTTCTATATAAATCATTTGTTTATAAATATAATAAGCATATGATAAAAATGAAATTCATATCAATATATCTATTTCTTGAGTGTGTGTCGCTGGGAGGGCCCGCTTTTCTCGAATAAACATGGTTTTTTTTACTGATTTTTTTATCTTTTTTTATTCAATCTTATTGACACGTCATGCTTCGAAATGGGTTGAAATTACTGTTGTAAATATCACATATTTTCATGTCGGTATTATCCGCTTATTGCATAAGCAACAAAAACTGACTGTCCAATTATGCTTCCATATCATAAATATAGCTGCACTGATATGATCTACGACCACAGAGCTAAGATAACTAATTACATAAGCAAT